TATATGAAAAAATAATATAGAATATAATTTTCATTTCAATATATGTTTCCTTCTTAAATCGATTTTTTTAAGATCTTTAAAAGATTGACAAGGAAATAACTTGATCTCCATATTTTAAAGTTTTGTGACTTTTTATATCATAACGAAAATAATAAAATAACTCATCAAAAAACATAATTATCACGTGGATGATATGTATCGTTTCTCATGATTAATTTCGTAGTAATAATTAAATTATGAATAAGTATCGTTAAATTATGAGGCACAGTCTTAATACGCAGTATACGCATTGATTAATTGGAGACTGCTTTATCTAATGTTTTAATAAACATCAAGTTCGGAAAAATAAATTATATTTCATATTGTAAATAAATAATTTATTTGAAATTCTTAATAACAGTAGAATATATAAACTCAAAAGTTCTTAAGTATGAGTCTATTGATTTTCAATTTTTCATTTAAATCAGAATTCAATTTAAATAAATATATTCAACAATATATTATTTCTTTTTTCAAATTGTAACATATCTATCATATACAATGCGTTAGCTTGTTTTCCTTTGTAATAAAAATAATAAAAGTTTAATCAAATATTGACGAAAATTTTCAATGAGGATTCAAAATATAATAATTAAAGAAAAAATATTAAATTTCCTATCCGATTTATTTACAATGACAGAATTAATAAACAGTTAATAAACAATTATACACAAAACATAGAATCAGAATTATTCCAAAAGTTTAATTATTCGAAACATGTAATATAGAATAAATAAATAAATAATAAATAAATAAATATTTTTTTCTATCATAACATTTCATTCACGTTGCTTTCCAACTTGCTCATCTGCCTCCATGTTGTTTCAATTCCACCTTTGTAACAAATTTCAAACATAAGTATCACGTAATCATGAAATCTGCGCCATAATACGGAACTGCATTACTGAATTCGGTGTTTCGAAAGCTTTTGTTTATCATTAGCAGCGTTGTCATCGTGGCTTATCGCGGGAACAACAGTAATAACCCGTGCTCGAGTACGAAAAGTCCGCTCGGTTACGGTCCTCTCGAGTTTATTACTTTATCGGTGTATTACGTGACGCTTTCACGGCCCGTAATTATAATTAATGCGGCCGAAGTCAGCGCGGCGTGCGTCATTTGGAAGAGTGGCCATTATTAAGGGCCTGGACTGGCGGTCACGCCAGTGTCACTGTCAGTGCGTGCTCGTTGGTAATTCTGTGGCGTTGATAACCGGCGCGCCGTGCCATTAGGTGGTAGATTTTATTGTCCACCCCAAACTCAGCCCGATAATCATCGCGATACCTTAGCTCTGGCTGGAACGTGCACGTGAAGGAAATGTACGCCGGCAATCAGTATACGCACCTGTGCGACATATGTACACATGAACGGTTGGCTCTAGTTCACCACGAGCATCCCGAATATAACCCCTGTTTCACCCTCCCTTTCGTGGCGCTATCGAACGTTCGACGGAGAGATTGTTTCCTTCCAGGCTGATTAATTCGACGATTAATTGATTATTTCGCCCCCTCTGGCGGTTGTTTTTCGAGGCTTTAGATTAGAGCATGAAAGATAGATTTTTAGAATTTAGAGGTTTATGAAAATACGAGAAAATAATTAAATATATATTTTGTTTTATTTGTAGAATATTTTACGTATACAAGATAGTAATTAGATTGCGAATGTTTATGCAAATTTATATTTCTATGAAAATAATTAATCTTTTATTAGGAATCTTCTTCATCCTCAAAATGTTATAGTACTATTTTATTGGATCTTGGATATTTTATATTTGCATATTATATTTATCGTATGTATAGTGTTGTATGAAATTTGCACATTTAAATTTCCAATAAATTCATAAATATCCGCTATCTAATTATAATAATGTTTAGAATTTCAAGTTATTTTTATATTTAAACAAAAATAAGCTATTTGACTTTACTTAAAATAAAATTATTTTTAAATAATCTAGTAAAAGTAAGAAGTTTATCGAAATTTTTCATTCTTTTAATAACGATAATAACAGTATGATAATAGATAATGACATTAATTAATAATATCAGTATTTATGTAAAAGCCTAGAAATTGAAATTATATTTGATCCACATATTAATATATTTTATAAAAAATGCGCATTTTAATTCTCCTCTCTGAATATCATCAGTTGTATTAATACCAGGAATTGCCAGTAGCCAAATGAGCTTATAAATATGCAAAGGCTAAACAAAAATTAACCAAATTTAATCTCACATAATTTTCAAATAGACTTTCCTTAATCCTTCAATTTTATTTCATAATTCAATGGCATATTATTTTTTCAATTAAATAGCACACAGGAGCTTTTTATATTTGGCATATTTTTTCTTTTTCTTTTTTTTTTTTTTTTTTACAGTCTTTTCTATATTATATGAAAGATTTTTAAAAAATTTATTGCTATACTTACTTTTAAATATCCATTTTTAAATTATATATATTTTATGAAATAATACACGAAATTCTTCATATTATCTTTAAGATTAAAAAGTGGTTATATAAAGATAAATCTGAAAATACTTTTCTTTCAAAATATTCATATAAAAGGAAGAATTTTTAAATTTCTTATTATAGTAACTTATTCTGAAATACTCTGTATAATTAAATATTTAAAACAAAATTATACAATTTTGCAATACAATAACGTAGAAAATGATTATTCTGTAAATGAATATTCTGAATAATAAAAATTATATAAAAATATAATAAATCATTTATCTCATTACTTACTTACAACTTTATGTTGTACCTCATCTTTTCACTGGATCTTGCAAGAATTTGACAAGGAAAGGAACTGTAATATCTCAACGAGACCAGAGAGTTTCAAATGAAAAGAAGTTACGTATGTGAATGTGGAAGAAAGATGAATGAGACGAATAGAAGAACCTCGTCTTATCTGGGTATGTGATATTCGCATAACAAAATCTGTCGCACGTGATGGAATCTTAGACGCTGAGATTATTACTAGCTATAAAGGCCTTTTTGGGCGGCTATCTTTGACTTCACCATAAAAGCAATATTCGAAAATAGAATACAAATTATACGTACGTATGTGTATATATGTGTAAGAGTTATTCAGATATAAAAAAAAAATGGAGACATTGCTCCATAAAAAGAAAATATTACAAACGTGACAGAATCTCGTATATCATTCTATAGAGAGCATCAAGAATAAAATATCATTCTGTATCACAATAATTTCATAAGTATACTATCGTCAAAAAGTTTCGAATTAAATTTTAATTAATAAAAGATTCGAATTAAATTTTTCTAATAAATAATTTTAATTATTAGAAAAATATTATAGAAGAGTAGTATATTGAATGAAAAATAATATTTATTAAATTGTTATAGTTTCGTCGAAAAATATGAATAATTTAATTGTTTCGTAAATTTCCAATATTTTATTTAATAATTTCTCCAAATAATCTTCTGAAATTTATATCTAAGCATCTTGTAAATATTAAATATATATAAATATATTAAATATTGCAAATATAAGATACACTGTGGATTGAAAGATTTTAGCTTCTATTTTATTAAAAAAATGCCACAAATATTCAATGGAAGACAAGTTTGGGATCTGAAAAACTTTCACAATAATAACAATTAAAAATAAACATTATATGGAATTCAATAAGGTATCTTTATATAATAAATTGCTTAAATGTTTTCGTTTCCAAACATTTTGCCATCAATATACATATCTTTCTCCATGTCAGAAATTGCAAGAACAAGTTTAATCGTGAGAACTGAAGTTTTTGTCTTGTTAGAAGGAACCAAATTGAAGGCTATCCCCTGTCGGATGACTGCTTTGCTCAATTGAGCTGGTCAGATGAATTCTTTCCCTCTGCGTCTAATATTCGAATGGCTGCCGCCCACACAAGGTTAGAGACATTTTTCTTTTTTAAATGGGGTGATACGTCTTTATCAACGCGATGTCATAAGTAACGTAGAAAACAAATTTAACAACAGACGTTGAACACGGATGGTCCTCTGAATCATAATCATCGTCAGATTACACAGTTATGAATATTATTACTGGTGACTGGAACATCTGTTTTCTATTAGGCCGTAACGTACAACATCCTGAAAGTTAATTATTACGTGTGGATGTACAAGGGTGAAAAAGATTCAATTTATAATTCTTTTAAGAAGACATATTTTTTTTTGTCATTATATTTGAAAAAGTGTTGATGAATAATAATCAAATGTAAAAATATTAGAAGATTTATTAAATTCTTATATATATATATTTATATTTTCTTATATTTTCTTTCTTGATATGTTTACATTTTAAAATATTATAATATTTGTAAATTTGAATTAAATAGCTTTTATGTAAATTTTAAGAAATATTTCATAGTAATATTTCTTAGTAATGAAAAATAGATTGTTTGAATTTACAATAATAAATAAATCTCTTATTGTATTTTGTAAAATAATAAATTTTGAAATATAAATTTTATATAGTATTTTTAAGAAGAAAATGCAAAAGATTTTTAAATTTTTAATCATTTTTATTTGAAACTTTTAATATTTATTTAATTAATATTTTTTATAATGTATAAAATTAGAAAAGTGTAAAAGAAGGAAAATAAAAATTTTATTAATCAAAATTATTACATTACAAAACAAAATTTTTACAAATATTTGGAAAGAAAAATCTTTTATATTATACATTATTATATATATTGTTCTAAAATGGCGGGAAAATTGCTGTTTGAAATCAAAAAATCTGAAAAATATCTTTCTATCATAATATATCAATGCTTGAACTACATTGTTATCTAACAAAAGAAAATTCTAGTCATTGAGATTTTTAGATAAATCGTCTCAAATTATTTTGAGTTTGAATTGCGAGATTTCCTTAGTTCCTTTCCAATTGCTTTGTTCGATTGTTTGAAAAATTTTAAGATCTAATTCAGAACTTTTGTATTTATGTGTAGATGTATCTGTGTGGATAAATGCACATACGTAGTTCGAAGTGATTTATTATAGCCGTTCCATGAATCCAAGAGAATAGATTGCAAGAGAAAAATTTGCTTTTATAAAAAAAAAAGAAAAAAAGAAAAACCATTATATCAACATGACACATGATAATAATTCAAATAAAAATCTTATTAATCGAATGGAATTTTATCAAATTTAATTTCCATTAAACGAATAAAATAGTATTATTTTCAAGCTCTGATGGTCAAAAACACGCGAAAACCTCGTCTCGCCGGTACGTTCATCAGATATTTAACTTCAAATGAAAATTTTTATCAATTTCATTAACAGATACAATATTTTTCTTTCTGATTTTGCGCTACGTAGATATTTTTTTTTATTTAGCTCGTTACGATGTATCGTGCAACCGAAAAAAAAGTAAACTATCGAAAAATTTTTACTCTCACATTTAACAATAATTTGACGCAATAAAATTGCTCATTTAAAAAATTGTCTTCGATTTGAAATTCACGATACGTTTAATTCGATCGATTTGCCAAAGAAGATTCTTTACGTTCGATTTTATTGGGATTATTTATTTGACGTTATCGAAGATCGAGAATAATTCTCGCAGCCTCGATAGACTACGCCGTTTTAATAAACTGCTGCATCGCCAGTTACGGTTTAGGCAATTACTCTCTTAGGGAATATTGCAGAAACCGTGCCGACAACGCATGAACACGTATCGATCGTGTAACGATCATTCGTGCGTAATATTTATTATCGGGTCGGTTAACGTATATTCAACGAATATAATATCGTTTAATTAACAGTTGAGTGCCGGTAATCCATCAGAGCTATTGTAAACACGAGTAATTGACGTAACTACGATAGAATTAATGTTATTACAAGCAAAGAAGTTATGATGACATATACAGCGTATTTTGTGCTTTTCAAACTGGGCAAGGATAATCTAAAAGTGAAAGTAAAAAAAAATTGTTATGTGAAATTTTCCATTAACGTTTTGAAATTAAATTATTGTATATTAAATATTTTCTCATTTATTATTATCGATAATATTATATTTATTAAATATAAAAAAGAAAAAATTTACTATAATAAAATTGAAATGTCAATAAAATTTAATAATCAAAATATCCATGTGAATTTTTTCTTTTATTGAATTATTTTTTGTGTTATTTATTTATTTATTTATTTATTTATTTTTGATAATATATTTTGTTTTGGAACAATAGAATAGAAAAATCTTTCTATTCTAATCGTTACATTATTTAATGTATCAGAATTTAGGCTAATTAATGATTCAAGAATTAAAGAATAGGAATAATACATTTATATTTTATCATTATTTACATAATGTTTCCTAATTTATGAGGATTTGTTAAAATGCTCATTTCAAAATATTTCGTATTTTGTGCAGAATTTATTGCTAACACATACGTTCTGCTTATGACTTGTAGACGCATCGAAGTGTTTACAGATAATATTTATATAATAATATAATATTAATATGATATATTTATTACTATATATAATATTTATATAACGATATAAATATAACATATTAATATTTACTTATAAGTTTCATCGAAATGTTTATAAACAAATTTCATTTAAGATTTTTTTTTAATCATCGGGAAATTATAAGATCTTTTTTTCGAAACAATTATATTTTTCTTATTTTCACTTATACACTATGCACTACATACTAGAATTAAAAAAATGGTAAAATGGTAGATAACTAAATAGAAACTAAATAAAATCAATAATTCTTCATCGAGTCCATATTCATAGCTCATTTCTCTGTCCAGCATTATTTTTGCAAGCCAATCCACGCGTGGACATCAATAATTTGTTGCGAATACATAAAGATTATAGATCACAGAACATGCGTTAAATAAAGCCGGAATTAGAATCCAATTATGGTAATGTTTCAGTAAATATAAAGAACGTAATTACAGCTTAGAGGCATTCCATGGAGTGGAAAATACAGTGCAGTTCATATTTACCCTTATCGTGTCCTCAGTGGCCATTAATCATAGGGTTGGAGTCGATCATTACCTCTATAGCAGCGAGGGTTATCGCGTATTTGTAATTATACCCTCCTAATATCTTCCTCATCAGGATAGTAATCATGCTCACCAAATGTCCCTAGTTGACCGAGATTGTCCCCAATTCCGTTTTCCCCATCTGTGACAGATGCTTTAGGGAGATGGATGATGACAAAAACGTGGCGAATCGTGGAATCATTTCACGGATGCATGACGACGAGCAATCTTGTGGTATATACGGAATAAATAATCGTGCCAAACTTTTTATGAGCTGCGAATGTAGAATATCTAGTAACTGATCTAGTGACAAATGGACAGGGGGTGACATCTATATCTAAAAATAAGGAAGAAAAGAAATAAAATTTTTTTGCAAATTTTCATTTTGGAATAAATCATTTGGAAATTTTTCAAATATGTACAAGTGAAATTTATTAATTCCAGATTGGATACCGATGAATTATTGATGGAAGGTTATTCTATTGTATTCTATTGTATGAAAAGTATGGAATGAAACTTTTTTATTTAATTCATTTCTCAAAAATGACAACATCAATTTGATTTTTTTGAAAATTAGTTTTTAAATAAAAAAATTTATATAGATAGAATAACCTTCCATCAATAATTCATTCATTCAATCGGGAATTAACCAATTTATATTTGAATAGTTTTCAAGCATGATATATTTGAAAAATTTTATTCTTTTTCTTCTATTGAAAATTATTTAATTGACATTAATATTATAAAATATTAAATTTTAATAAAACCCGGAGGAAAAATTCTAGTTATACCATTTCGATTCTTATATATTTTCTTTAGGATTAATTCTAATTATCGAAATATTAGAATCATTAAGTATAATAGTTACTGTGATAATCACAATGGGGATTTGATTTTCGAGTTACTAATGAAACTTTTATAGGATCAGATATTCTATATTTTTAATGAATATATGATGAAATCAAATCGTTTTTATATATAATATTTTTTATATAATATTATATATAATCGTTTTATATAATATCGTTTATTATATTTTTCGTATCTATATAATTTTATAAAATATAATTATATATAATTTTTAAAGATGGTCAATTATCTTTGCATAATCAATATTATTTTATATGAATATTTTCTCCATTTAATCTCGTCTATATCGTAATTAAAATTGTAAATTGAACTCTCATAGAAAATGTTTCTGTTTCATACAATTATCTCTTCTTTATTCCTTTTTTCAAAATGGTGTTATGTACACGATGTTGATATTTAATGAAAAGAAACATCTGTGTCAGTGCTTTACAAAGAAACTGAAAGTTTTTGAAGTGTTAAGTTAACACTTAATTTAAGTTCAGTTAATGCTAATATTTGCGAAAGAAAGGTTACATACCTGCTGCAAGAACATGCACATATGTAAATGTGTGTAAGTAGATATGGGGTGTGTTCTCAATGGAGAACAGTGCGTGTACTTTGAAAATTTACAGTGGAAGTTCGGAAAGTAGAACATGTTTAAGAAGGAATATACATATATATATCATTCATATTGACTTTTACACGATGTTGAAAAATCATTTATTATAATGATTTTAGAATGAGAAATAGATGAAATAGAAGAAAGATAATAAAAGAAAAAAATTCATTTAAATTTAATTCGATATTAAAGTAAAATAAGATGAAAATTTTTTTCTCTTATTTATACTTTTGCTATTTATACTTTTAATAATTATAAAAAAAATTACTAATTTAATTATTTAAAGATTAATAATATTATACACTTTTTTATCATATTTCAAAAATACGTTTAAAAGAAATAAATTTTACGCCTTTAATCTGATTACAGACAAGTTTCTTTCCATTAGAAATAATCACAAAATCCATTTCCATTTTATAAAAATTTACACAGTTTCGCCATTGTTTCTCTAATTACACTTTTTCTCGCTCAAAATTCCACTTTTTCCCTGTGTTACATCACACAATTTTCACCCCTCGAATCCTAGAAAAAACATACACACACCCTCGAGCAAAATCCACGTCGACTCTGCTCCACGTCGCCCTAAACCAAAGGAAATCGATTCATCCATGGTCGAAAGCAGAGGAAGAAATATACATTTGCCATTCCTCCAGTTCGACACCACCGTGTTCAAAATCCTAGCGTAAATACACGAGGGCTGGTAAACACCCCGCCGGTGTATATCGTTAAGCAAAAACCCTCAGAGCCACTTTTCTCCTCGAGGGGCGAGGTAATTGTGTGCGTGGCCGTGCTCCGCGCCTATTTTCTGAGCCGAATCTCCGCGACTGATCCCTGACGTCACACTTCCGCCGCCGGTTCCCTCTCTTTCGAGATCCGACATAGATTGGGGGGGAGCCAGAAACGAGTTTGTTCGTGCATGGAGTTTCATGGTTCGCCTTTGTTTGCCGTTCTTACGGCCGCGAACGCGGAGGAAGCGGACAAAGGGCGAAGAAGAGAGAAGACGGGGATCACGCAGGAGAAATTTCATGTCCGACGTTTTTTATCTGTTTTACATCGCGACGATTCGCATCGAGACGAGAGAATCATGGAAAGAAGGGGAAAGGTTCAGACTTTTTGACGAATACGTGGTTCCTTCTATTATAATTCATTTCGCGTGTAGTATTTCGATTAAAAAATTAGGATCATTCGAGTTTCTTTCAATAATTTTTGTGCTTTCTTAAGAGATTTAAAGACTTGGACGAAATTTAATTGAATATTTCATTGATTATTTATATATTTCACATGTGTATATTAGTAATTTATATGTTATTATAAATAATATCTTATTATTTTATTATGTTATATAGTGTACGAGGATCAAATGCTTATATATTTATAAAACATTTGTGTACACATCACCAATCGTTAGCTGATTTAAAGAGAAAATTCTAGACATTTGGCAAAAATAAAACAATATGTCGCAAAAGAATATAAGGTGTAAAACTAAAGAAAGA